AATAAGTTTGACTGCGTTTGTTTTATTAGTATCATTATTCGTAGGATTACCTTTGTCGGCAGTAATATATTTTTTTCAGTATAATGATGTTCCCATCATCATAATCCTTATCTCCACCATGTCTGTTTTATTTCTTTCACCACTGATCTGTTGTTTAAATCATCGTAACTCTGTTTCCCTCTCTCCTCCTCCTATCTTCCTATATCTATCTTTCCCTCTACCAGAAACAATGAACTCTAGATATATAAAGTGAAGAAAACAATGGTTTAAGGAAAATAAATCCTGGAACTATAAACTCCAGCTATATGAAGTGAAAAAAATGGTGAAAAGAAAAAAAAATCCTAAACCAGTTCATTTCTCTTTCCTTCTCTCCTCTTCAGGCCTTCTTTTCCTGTGGTTCAGCGTAGTCCTCGTCATCGCGCACAAGAAAACCGTCGCAAGCCAACGCCAGACGGACGGAAACGACGAGCAAGCCACAGCTCCTTCAGCGCCCGAGGACACTTCTGCTCCCGGTTATGTCAACGGATCCTTCGACATGCCAGACGCTCCTCCTCCTTATAAGGAAGTCGCCAACGCCCCTCCACCACCTTATACCATCGCCCTTCCTGATATGCAGAATCATCAGACTCCTTATTGCGCAGCCGTTCCTCAAGTACATACAGCTTATGACATGGGTTATGTTGAAGCTCCAAGTAATGTATATCACGTTGATGCAAATATTCAAGGCAACAGCTCTGTACATCCTCAAGTACATACAGCTTATGACAGGGGTTATGTTGAAACTCCAAGTGATGTATATTATGTTGATGCAAATAGTCAAGGCAACAGCTCTGTACATCCTCAAGTACATACAGCTTATGACAGGGGTTATGTTGAAACTCCAAGTGATGTATATTATGTTGATGCAAATATTCATGGCAACAGCTATGTACATCCTCAAACAAACAGTCATGGCAACAGTTATGTGGACCCTCATACAAACAGTCATGGCAACAACTATGTGGATCCTCATACAAACAGGTATGACAACGGATATACAGATCCTCGAGCAAACAGTCATGGTATCAGCCATGTGGATCCTAATACACATAGTCATGGCAACAGCTATGTGGATCTTCATACAAACAGCCATGTGGATCCTAATACACATAGCCATGGCAACAGCTATGTGGATCTTCATACAAACACCCATGGCATCAGCTATGTGGATCCTCATACACATATTCATGGTAACAGCTATGTGGATCCTTATGCAAACGGTTATGGCAACGGATATGCAGATCCTCATGCAAACACTCATGTTGGTTATGCTGTGGACCCTCATGCAAACACTCATGTTGATTATGCTGTGGACCCTCATGCAAACACTCATGTTGGTTATGCTGTGGACCCTCATGCAAACACTCATGTTGGTTATGCTGTGGACCCTCATGCAAACACTCATGTTGGCTATGCTGTGGACCCTCATGCAAACAGTTGCAATGTAGATTCTCAAGTAGATGTTATAGATGTGCCTAGTAACATTCGCAATGCAAATAATCATATAAACACCTACAACGGAAATGCTCATGTCAGTACACATCATGTAGCTGCTCCTCATAACGCACTAAATGTAGGTCCTCAAGTCGGCAGCCACAACACCCATTCACAAAATCATCATAACGCGAACAGTAAAGAAGAGTTCAAAAGTATGGTCAGTCACGACAATGAAGATAAAAACACCCATCAACATCCTGTAAATCCCGATGCAGCTGAGCCTAAGGACTCTGCAACATCTGCCAGCGAGAGTCTCCAGCGATCTGCAAATCCCGATGCGCGGAATTCCCAAGCTTCTGACCAGCAAGAACAAGGGGAATTGGATGCAGGTGCCGAGGGAAGGTCTGTGGGTGTCTCTAAGGAGGAGAACTGGTTATGATTTGATACGTGTCGAGTTACTTGATGGTGATATATGCGAATGAGAAATCAAGTATCTTTTCAGTATTATAAGTGTATAATAAGTATTGCATTTCACGCACGCACGCACATATATATGCAGAGAGAGAGAGAGAGAGAGAGAGAGAGAGAGAGAGAGAGAGAGAGAGAGGGAGGGGGAGAGGGAGATGATATGATATGATAACATTTATTTACAGAACAGTGTACATGCCCTGCAAAAAGGCAGGGTAAGATACCAAAGTATCTATGCACTGGCTGTTCTTCTATTTGTGTAGAGGGCCATCAGTCAAACATTAGAGTTATATACATACCTGAAGGGCTGTGCTATTACCACTGTATTAAAATATCATCTGACTGGTAAAAAAAACTTTCATATCACTAATCCTGTCAAAGACAAGACCAGTGCCTATAATAAAGTTGATATAATCAACAAGTGCTAATCTGTGAACAGAACTATTTGAGCGATAGGAAGCAGATTTTATGCAACAGTAACGGGTGAGGTTATGCGAATGGGACGCCTTGTATAGTTTGCAATGGTGATATGAAACTGATTTTGCATCCAAAACTG